TTCTCTGGTCTCTTGTACCGCTGTCAGATAGTGTCTACTGAGCATATCTGCAAGATATAATTCAGTCCCTCTTTTGTATCTCACACTCAGGTCATACATTTGTAGCCACATCAACATTCTCTGTAATTGTCTGGGTGCAGAAACGAGAGGCTTCGCAAATATGGTTTCCAATGGTTTGTGGTCAGAGTCAACGCATACTGGTCTTCCAAATGTGTACTGATGAAATCGTTCTGCCGCGAACACAATCGCCAAGAGTTCCTTCTCAATTTGAGCGTAATTACGCTCAGTCGAATTGAGTGCTCGACTTGCATAAGCTATTGGTCTGTCATCTTGCAATAAAGCAGCCCCAAGTCCCCCTTCGCTTGCATCACACTGTATGACCAATTCTTTCTCAGGTTGTAGAACTTGAGTAAAGGCGGCTTGGTAACGAGCTCTTTCAACTTCGTGAATGCTTGGTCATGAACTTGATCCCATACAAAAACAACCGTCCTTCTTAGTAAGTTGTTGCAAAGGTTCCAAAATGTCAGACAACTGTGGCAAAATTTGGCTAAATAGTTGATGGTTCCCATAATTCTTCGTACTTCTACGTTTGTGGGTCTCTCCATCTTAATGATCGCCTCAATCTTGGCTGGGTCAGGTTTCACCCCTGCAGATGTAAGAACGTGTCCGATGTAAGGAACTGACGTTTGCTTCAGCAAAAATTTCGTTCCATTCAGCTTCACTCCCCGCTCTCTGCATCGATCCAACAGTTGCTTCATTTTGGCATCATGGTCGGTGATTGCTTCTGCCAATGAGTCGCCATTTCCGATCACCAGAATATCATCAGCGACTGTCTTGACTCCCTCAAGGTCGTCGATCACTTGATCTAAACTGCTCTGAAATATCTCACCCGCTGGAGAAATACCAAACGGTAAACGTTTCCATTTATACCAACGGAAAGGCGTTCCAAACGTCGTGAGGAGGGAAGATTCTTCATCCAAAGGGACTTGCCAATAACCATTGAGACAGTCCAACTTAGAGAAAACTTTTGCTTTACCAAGCTCAGGTAATATATCTTTGCCACAACAATAGAATTTATCCATTCTGTAGGTTGATACACTCCCTCGATTATACCTTTCTCTTTGAGCTCAGCTAGGTGGCTTCTCAGTGGATCTTTCACGGACTCAGGTATTTTTCTCACTGCTTGTTGTACAGGTTTCACGTTTTCTTCTAGTTCCAAATGGAGTTTCGGTCCAAGCTGCCCCAGTCCCTCGAAAATATCTTTGTATTCGCTAGTGATCTGTTCCATGGTCAATCCAGTTTGACTTGATTCTGGAGAGGTCAATATGGAATGCGTCGACCTTTCCGTCGGACTTGACTCTGATGACGGCATCGTGGTATGTGTTGGACATTTACTGTTGACATTAATATTTTAGTTATATTTGCTCGGACAGGGAAAACTGGGAACGAACGAAAAGGGCGCGAAAATAGTTGTAGGACACAGGATTTTAGAGATAGAGTATATACATGTTAGGAGTTTATATTATGCGAATTATACTATAAGAAATAAAACTATCAAAAGTTAATGAAAGTGAGAAGCAAATAACATGGTGTCAGGAGTTTAAAAGAAGCCAGCTCACATTATT